GCAAATCTCAATCAGAAATTAGAAAAGAAATAGAAAATCACAATCACAATATTGAATTATCCAATAATAATATAGGTAGTTCCGAGTTCCCTAACATGCTATATGACCCTACTTACTACTAGCGCTCTACAGATGTGGTGAAATTATGCGCTAAACCCGTGACGAGTTCTGACCCCAGCTATCAATACAATTTAGATAGCCGATAGCTAACCTGTATATCTTAATTCTTAAGCCGTGGTCATTACACAGATATAGATAATAAACTAGATTGCTAACTAGTGATAACAGCCGACGCCAAAAAAAGTCATATTGGGCTCTGTTGTGTAGTTATCATAATACAATACGATTAATGTGATATCTAATTTTAAATATATCATTTGGCGGGTATTTCATGTCACATACTCGCATCACACATATTAATATAATATACAAAAACCAGAGGCCTATTTAGGTACAGGCCCTATAGGCCCGGGCCTAGAGCGGCAACATTGGAGGGCGTCAATTTTCAACAATTTTTTTTACAAAATTAGAAAAATTATTTTTCATTTGATGAAATCAAACTCAWCTAATTTTTGTTCGCTCAAAATTAATCATATATCTACATATATCTCAATGTATCTTTTTAATATAATATTATAATATAATAAATTGTATATTTAAATACGTTTTAGAAATAATTGTAGGAAGRATGAAGGGGGAGGAAGGCGGCGAATTGGAAAGTGCCTAGAGGCGGAAAAACCTTAAATACGCCACTGACAAAAAACATATAATGCAAAATAAGTTATACACGAATAAAATTAATTAAAATTTAGTAAAAATATGCTTTTATAAAATAATAAGATTAATTATTATAATAATAAGCAATATTAGATAGCAGTGGCGACAGTGGCGTAGCCATGACAATATATATACATTTAGTACTTAGGAATATTATTTGGGGGGCCGGGGGGGGGCAAGTATATGTAGGTAGTAATTAATAATTTATTTCAGTAAATGAAAATAATAAAATAAATTATACAACACAGAACTTCATACTATACAACTTCAATATAATTGTTTTTTTTAATTATCAAATTTTGTTTAAAAGTTAATTTTCAAAGTAGGTTGGGGGTCACCCGCGGCCTATGCAACTACGCCGCTGTTTGATAGTGATATTTACAAAAAAAATATGATCTAAAAATAAACAATATTCATCACCATTTAATGTTTATAAAAACAAACAAATGATCATTGTATCTTGACTTTACTTTCACTTACAAATAAAAAAGTAGAAGTTACTTATTTTTACTCTAACTGTTTTATTGAACAAAGTACAATTTTAATTTAAAATGCCACAAACTTGTTGTGTGCTTGGATGTGCTAATCGTTCTGGTCGTGAAAAAGTGGTTTTTTTTAAGTATGTATTAGTAGTAGGCAGTAGCACAGAATAGATTTAATCTATTTTGACATTTTGTGGAAGTGGTTTTCAACATGGCTATACACAATACGTACAATTTTACTAAAAAACTTTTGTAGATTTCCAAATAATAATGTACTGAAAGAAAAGGTGATAGCTGCGATAAAAAGACACAATTTCGTTCCAACACATCACAGKATATGTAATATTCATTTTGCTTCCACTGAGTTTATAGAACGCCCAGATATTAAGCGGATTAAAGAAACAGCAGTCCCTAGTTTATTTATTAGTCAAGAAAAATTTGAAATAAACTCTGTTCAAAGTGAACATTCTTATTGTCGATTTAGTGAACCCAATGTTCAAAATGATACTTATCGTAATAACTGAAAATCAACACTAATTATATAATATACATATTCTTGTAACAAAATAAAATATTATTCAGTATTCAGTAATAGAGCCACTGGACTACACAGTGAGTGAGACAGTGTCTTCATCAAATTATGTTTATTATCTATATATGTGTGTCATTATGAGCATGATAAACCATAGATATAATCACAAATTAAAATATTAAACATCAGAAAATTAATGAAAATAAAATTTTGAAACTTCAATATTTTCAGAAAAATAAACTTTACAAAATGGCCATCTTAAATTATTTGTAAATAATTCAATAAAAAAATATATTTTATAAATTTTTCACAAGATCATTAAAGTAAATTAAAAAATGAAACAATTTTAGTTATTATTCCTGAGTATTATTACAAAACCAGAATTTTGACGGGCAAATCCTCGCAGGACACCGTGTATATGGGTGTARTATACACATTACACACTAGTACAATACACTTACACATTATATGCATCATTATTGTATACATTTTATAGTTATATATCGCATTTACTAAATGTAAAGTATATGAATAATATTATAGATGGTAGATATTATTTTAATAAGAGGAAAATTCTGTCACTTGAAAATGTACTGTAATATTGCATAACAGTTTTTAAATTATTATAAAAAAGTATTCTTTTTACATTGAAAATTACTCAAAAGATTAATTATCTTTA